TTCCTTCCTTCCTTCCTTCTGTATATTGGTGAGTTCCATGGAACATCTGGCAGTTAACAGTGTCATATCCAGGGGTGTCCGCAGGGTATGGTCAAAAAAGTCATTTTCATGAAAAAAAAGCAGTGTTTCTCTTTGGCATAGATTTCATGAGATTTTACAACAGTAGAGCAGTGTCATTGTGTTAATTTTTCCTACTTAATGATAACTGTATTGTAAGGTATTATTGCAAACTAGTGATTTATAGATGTTTAATATATGAAATACAAGGGGCATAATTAGATGCTTAGTTGTACTGGATCAAGGGAATGGCCCTGAAGGACAGGAGGAAGAGCCGCTACCAAGACAATGTTCAGATAAAAGAAACCTGAGTTGGGGGCAGAACTGTAACCTGAGAAAACGTCTCAGACAAGACCCTCCCTACTTCTCATGAAGATAAAGGGAAGGAGAGGGGAGGCACATTCAGACTTACAAGATTCTGTTACTATAACTTTAAAATAAAAATAATATTGACCTGCAGGACTTTGGTTTCCTAGCCTGGTCTACTTTGAAGGGCTGACATCACTAATTTCTTTCTTTTGGGGTCTTTTTTTCTTTTTTCTCTGTTTAGATTTTTTTTCATTTATTAGTTCCTTGTATTTCCATTGTTTGTTTGTCCTTTGTAATTTTGTTATCTTTTGTAGTCTTGTTATAAAATATTTTTTTAAAAAAGTCAAGTTGATAGCTGCAACAGTGTGACTGAAGCCCCAGCTGTTTTTTTTAATGTAAATCAACACAGATTTTAAAAAATGGTGGAACTTCGATTCCACTGTTGTGGCCACCAGCTTCACTTTTCTGACCATCCCCTTCCGTCACCCCTGGTCAGATCCCCAGCTGAACGATAAAAACCTCTATGGAATGTCAGACAATAAAGAATACAACATGGTGGCAGTAAGAATAAACGAGAAATCGACAGATAACAAGCAGAGCAAAAATTTTCATCCATGTATATGTGGATACTGTGAAACCCCCTCCTCTCAGGTCCATGGTAATCTTGTGGCCTCTCTTGGGTGGGTGGGGGGCTGCTTCTGGGTGTTACAGGCGTTCAGGGCTGCCCCGTTGGATTCTGGCTGCTTGTCTCTTCCTTTCCATCATGGTGATGCTCTGGCTGAGTTGCGCCAGTTTGGTGACTGCGCCGGATCAACATGTCAAGACTCAGGTAGGGAAAGATGAATAAGAAGTGGGTCCTCTCTGTATATGGGTTTTTTTTTTTTCAGGACTGTTGAGGAACTTGGATTGCATGAACTTGATGTATAACTTGGGATTCTGGAGAGCAGGAAGACGAGTAAGAAGGTTGCTTTGGCCCCTGACTTTTTCCAAAATACATTTGTCAACCTTCAAGTACCCAAAGATTCTCTGTTGTTTTCTTTGGCAATAGGTTAACGTGTCAGTCCCTTTGGGTATTAAAGTGTTTGATGCATTCAGAAGGAATTAGGCACTTTTTCTTATCAATTTTTAATAATCAGTGCATTTTGATATAACAGTTTTCCTCTCTCATTTATGGGTAGTCCTTGGGTTATGACCATTCATTCAGCAACCGTTAAGACAGTGGTGAATGAATGGTACTTACAATGGATCCTCATAGTTCTGGCCATTGCAGTGTCCCCACATGATCATGTTCCAGGCACCCGGCTCACAATTTCAATGTCTCAGCAAGCCATGGTCACATGATCATGATTTCCACCCTTCCCTGCCGGCTTCCCACAAGCAAAGTCAGTGAGGAAGCCAGCAGGAAGTTGGAAGTTGCAGTCCTGCCAGCAGCCCCTCACTTAACAACCCATACGATCCTCGTTTAACAGTGGCAACTGGGACTGCTGGAATTGCCATTGCTAAGCGATGCGGACACATGACATTGCATTTTACAACCCAATAGCTGTTCTAAGCTGAGGACTACCTGTACCTCCTATCTTTCTTTCAAAAAGCTCAGTGATTTTGTCCCCCCACCCCGCCACCAATTTTATTATCACAGCAACCCTGCACAGTTGACTTGGGCCAAGAGACAGCCACTGGCCCGAAGTCTGCAGTGAGAACAGTGGCCCTGTGGATAGTTGAATATAGGTCCTGATGGAACGCTTTAATCCAGGGTTCCTCAACCTTGGCGACTTGAAGATGTGTGGACTACAACTCCCAGCATTCCCCAGCCAGCATGCTGGTGGGGGAATTCTGGGAGTTGAAGTCCA